CATGTTCTCTGTTTTTGAGACAAAAGAGACAGTTAGAATAGGGAAGTGTAAATCCTTTGAAAGAAGTGTTTCAAAACACATTTTTAACAATGTTACTTCTTTGAAAGCTGTGCTTCGGAAAACATCTTTTTTTCAAAATCTTAAAGCAGCCCTGTCTCTCTCATAAACTGCCCAAGCTGCTTTGAAAGTTTCTCCCATCTTTTTTTCTTTTTTTGAGGGGTGGGGGGGTGGAGAACAACTAGAGGAATAAAAACTGTTAAAATGTCAAGTTACCAACAGCAGTAACCAACAATAACGCTTTAAGTGATATGTGTGAAATTCATTGTCCCCTCCAACCTCCTAAAATGTTTTCAATTCTCCCAGTGATTTTGTAAACATTGCAGTAAGAGGTGGTCATTCTCAGTATTGTGGATTGCTACTATACAGCAAACATTCTAAACTTAGTATTATTACACTCTTCTAAGGCCATGATAAGAGATTCATAATGTTCAGCTTTTGGAGGCCAGAGCAATATCTCTGTGACTGCAGCTGCCATATGAGTTTGGACAGTGACCAATTCAAAAATGCCTTTTGAGTTCTACTGCCCCTCAACTTACACTCCTCCCTGTTTACATTTTAATTCAAATTCTTGACTCTCACTTGCTGTGTGCTACATTTGCTCGTTTGCTGTAGAATGAGATGGAGGAAACCCAGACTACAAGACTTGGCCTTGACCTAGGCTATTCTAACAGATTTCACCAGAGTCTCATGAGCTGACAGAAATATTGGCCTTGGATCCAAGTTATTAGAAGTTGGGGCGAAAAAATTTAGAACATGTTCTGCTTATAGAGAAGTCCTATTCCTTCTTCCTCACTGAACATGGTAAGCGGCCCAGGACTCATCTGCTCCTGCCAGATCCCATCATGGACAGCTGTTCCAGTTCCACAGGAATTGCTCTGGGTGTTTGCATTCCATCCCAAGTGCCAGTGTCCTGACCATCTTAGATAGACCTAAGATCAAGGCCCAACACACACAATTCATTAGTGCAAGAGGCCTCGGTGGTTCAATATGGATAGAAGTGACTCTGACAGGTTGCTGTGTGTTTCCATCTGTTCTGGATCTGAAGGTCAGCTGGAACAAGCTGTCTGAATATCTGGAACTGGAAGGGTTCCAGCACTATTTCTTTATGGAGGTGTGAGCTGTTACTTTGCCTTCTAAACGTTCAGCATTTCCTGGCTCCTTCCATTTAAAGGAGTAAATACTGGTTGGTATTTTGTATTGCAGAAGGCTGATTCATACATTAACAGGGACCAGAGGAAGAAATATGATCCATCTTTCACTGCTTTTAATACAAGATGGGAAGTGGAATTTTCAGGTTACTACCAAAGTAAGATTTCTGAAATTGAGAAAGTGGTGGAGCTTATAGTTCTTCGTGACGATGATTCATCCTGGATAAATCTGCATATTTGATTGTCCCCAAACACAAACCTGAAGGTAAATAGGAACAATTCTGCTATTTTTCCTTGTTTCTGTTCCAGAAGATGTCACTATCCTAAAATTGCCAGTAGTAGCATTAATATGATAGAAATTTTGAAGCTAGGAAAATAAATGAGGTGCTACTAGGGTAAAGCTGTATTGATTTTAATAGTTCTGTGTAGCATGCTAATTGGGGAAAGATGGCTTCCTTTCCTGTGTATACTCTAGATTTCAAAATGATAGTGACAAAAATTAATTAGGACGGAAATGATACTCCCTACCTTCTACAAAACAATGTCAGAGCCAAAATATATGCAGGGTTACATTTATTTGAACTGGGAGTATCGAAGATACTAATTCTGAAAGAACACATCTTTTTTTAAAACAAAACAAAACAAAATTAATTATCTAAAAAAATTACAAACAAGTAATCCATGTTGATTATCATTCTTCTCTATCAGAATTTTAAGGATGCTATCTGACATTTCTATCAATACTATGTTCCAGATGTTACAAAGACATTTCTTTCTTGTAGGACCCCTTCACAGCAGCCCAATCGAGATGGAGTTTTAACCGATCTGACAAAGAAAACATGTTCTCTGTTTTTGAGACAAAAGAGACAGGGTTAGAAGAGCAATCATGAACAGCACATAGGGATTAGAAGGCGTTCTAGTATGCAAGCTTGTTGCTAATGGGAATAAAGTCCCGGCTTTGCCTGTGTGGCATATATTCTTCAAGGATAGCTACTTAGGGAATTTTGTGGCTTAACATCAGGTATATACAAGCTTTCAAGCACCAGAGATATGTAACACTTTGCTTGCTGGCATATGTGAACGCAGCCAAACTTTATGTTAAGACACACAGAGGGATGATATACAGATTGTTCGTTCATCATGGAAGAACATATATACTTAGGTGATATTCACACATTAAAATGTGAACGGTATAAGATAACTGGGGGGAGGGTGTATGCTTGAGAATGCCCAAGTGCAACTGCCTTTATGACTCGGTGCTGGCCAGATAATATGAGAGCTGATGTCCAGTCAATCATCTTGTGGTCCCAAGGTTGGGGATTGCTACCCAAATGCCTGATGGAGAATGATTGTTACAGGTAAGCCCATCTTCCTCTCACTACTGCTGAATTCTTTATAACGTGGCACACATTCATTCCTTGACCTATGACACTTCCACCCCCTGTCATTTACCACTTCAGCACTTACCCAACTGATCTGACAAAATCAATTGTCTTGGGGAGCCAAGACTCTCTTTATTCTCTGAGGTAGTGGAAGTAACCACATTTTTCTTTGAATCACTAAAGTTCTGCAGACGTTCAGGATGATTCATTCCCACATTGCCAGGAAATGTTGCCCCATGCTGGCTCCAGGGCTCTACCCAGCCATTAACTACACCCCCAGCATCACCACCTCTCACACAACATAGTTTAGCATTGTATTCCTGGAGCTTGTCTCATTCTGTATCCTTATTCGGAATTAAACTTTCCTTCTTCCCCAATCCAGCTACCAACAGCAGCATGTAAATAAGGTTACAACTATTGAGAAAAGTTGCTGGCTGCAAATTATTGACCAGATATTTCTTTCATAGCTGACAGGGGCTTTAAAATGCAACAGGATGGTGGGATTGCAGCCAAGAAGCTCTGGAAAATTTCAGTACTTTTGTTAACATTTTTTACAACCAATCTTGTCTAGAGTTAAGCTGTTAGTCTACTTTTATTAATATTCTGTGTAGTGAAATCTCCCTGAAGTCAGCTTGCACAAACCAGTGCTCAATACGGTATAATTAATGTTGTGTAGCATTCAAACCTGGTACTTCTACAGATAGCCCTCATTTAGTGACCACAATTGGGACTGGCAACTTGGTCTTTAAGTGAAGCAGACACTAAGTGAAACCACAACTGTGCTTACAATCTTACTTCAGCTTTCCTTTGCTTTACAGACTTGCTAAGATCATAATTGCAAGGATTGGTCGCAAAGTTACTTTTTCATCATTATTGTAATTGTGAATGGTTGCTAAATGAGGCAGTCACTAAACAAGGACTACTCGTACTGCAACAGCCAGTGATGTTAATGTGGCAGGCACATAAAGGCAATTCTGGTGCCTAGCAGGTGATGTTAGTCTAACTAGCAGTAAATGTTCTGTGCCTCTACTCATGCATTGGAAAGTATCATGCATGTATCACTATCTACGGGGGGGGGGGGGGATTTTTTTTTCTGTACCTTTTTTGCGGCTATGAAGAACTTAAACAGATGTTGGATTATCACTTCGAAAGACAAATCCTTTGACCAAAACAAGGACTACATTAATTTCAGAACTGACTTACTGTGAACAAAGCCTTGCTAATGACTCTGCTCCAATGGTATGCTGAAGCCAAAAGTTTGGTTAACAAGCACACACACATCACAATCTTATCTCTGCAGTGGGCTAAATTTTAATCAAAGTTTTGAGTCTCATTGTGCTATGCAAATCCCAAACGATCATCATTCTGGACCACTGCAAGCCCCAGATGTGGACTGCCTCACATTTGAATGAGGTAAGCTTCCAACCTTGCTTAAAATGAATTCTGCAAAGGCTAAGATGGAGGATATGTGCACATTCATTAAACATTTTGTTTGTTTCGTGTGTCATGCAGACACAGCAAAGTGGGGGGAAGACTCAATCTTACCACTTTTCTCTGCAGTGACACATGGACAAAATCGCCACTCTGATTTGTGTTATGCTTCCTTAACGCAGGGAAGGACCAAGGCTTAGAATGAAAGGATTCAGTGCCTTGCAGCTTGATGACACAGTTTCATACACAATGCCATTTCTGGGTTATCCCCCACCTCAAGAATTCTCTATTGTAGCAGCACCCTAATTTGTGGGAAATAGTTACTGCTATTGTCAAGAAAGTAGTCACTGAAAGTACTCCCTCTGTGTATCCTCTGCCTACCTCTGCCACAATACATGATAGATCAGGGGTTTCTAAACTTTTTGCCATCACACCTTCCTTTAGTGTAATTTTAATGCATACATCTCTCCTAAAAACGAAACACCGCAATGAACACAAATAAACAATGACAACAATACAATGAAACTTTGGGAAAGGTGGATTTATTGTAACAATGTACAACCAAAAAGTTCTTCACACCTCCCCTTGACTGACTGCACCTCCCCAACAGAGGTACATCTCACAGTTTGGGAAACCCTGTGATAGATGGACCCATATTTAAATCTCCAGATGGCTGTTGGCAAAAAATAGTGAAGCAGCAAAATCTTTTGACATAGCCAACTTGAAGTCCCTTAAGTGGCTCCATTTTCCCCTCTGAAGGAAACATTTATTATCTTTCTATTTTCTTTCTGTCTCTGTCCTATGGAGAGCAATCTTAACCTTTCAATGCTCTATCAGGTCTCCAATTGTACATAACTCAAGAGAACTACAAATCAGAGCTAGGTCTTTTTAAAATAAATGCTATGGGGAGAGAATCAGATTGGGATTACAGCACTATAACAGGGAAAATTTATTTCTTTCCCTGAACCATAACCCCAAGATACTATTGGGAGCAATGCAGAGAAACCTGAAAAATATGCTTATGGGGAAACAAGTTTTCTAACACTGGCAAATAACATCACTTCTTTACAAGGCTCCTACATCTCATTTAGTCCTAAAGAGTAACCGGTTCCAGTAACTCCTCCTGAACTTACTTTGTGTGTGTGTGTATGTGTGTGCGTTTTAAGGTAACATAAGTAAACTTTACTGAAACAAATAATCCTCTTCCATAACCTGCCTGAGAAAGAAGGCTGACAGAGGCCACCCAAGCTTTTGGGTGCCACCTGCTTTTATGAACAAAAAGTGAAGGTTCTGTTCACGTAACAGCCAAAAGCTTCTTCTGTTAGATTGCATGGCTGGACAATTGATGGATCTTGGATACTGCTCCTTCTATTATCCCTGTTACCTTTGATCAAACTATTTCTAAATCCTGTTTGGTCTTTTTTCCCCTTTGTCAATATGTACTCAAGAGATGCGCTTACTGTATCTTTTTGCAACTGCAAGCCTAATCCTAAATTGGGGGTGGGAACCCCCAGATGTGGGATGCAACACCTTTGACTGTTGGTCCAAGACTCACAATTGTGGGAATTAGCTCGGGAGGAGAGAATCTAAAGAGCCACTAGGAGATCTAGTCACTATCACCAAGCACACATCTGTTTATGCTATTTTTATTTGTATAATAGGAGGAAAGATGAGTACTTGCCAAAGAATGGAAGGGAGATTATACACAGGAGGAGTTCCATGTCTGTGGAGCCATTTCTCCATCTCCAAACAGATAGAGGAAACCCACAACGTGTACACTACAATGATTCCAACAGGGAAAACCAAGGGGCAGGGTGCAAAACATATAAACAAGGCTGACATCTGGGTTACTCTTATTACTTGGCATATCTCTGTCACTCCTTTTAGATGTTAAATCAGGTCTCCCACATAGAATAGAGTACCTAGGGCCAACGCCTTTCCCTCCCTGGCATTTGCAGATCTTTGATTATGCATCTGAAGGTTCAGTATCCACAAGAGTGAACCAGGATTCATGGCAATATTCCTGTAGCAACAGAGCTTTGCAAAACTGGCCATAGTTTTACAAAACTGGCCATAGTGACAATTCACTTTAAATCTTCACCTTGATGCTCCCTCCAATTTTCAAAATTGTGATTTATAATTCCTAGGAATAAATTTATGTCAGTCTACAGAACCCTACCTAGATGAATATGTAGGTAGTGTCAGAGACCAACTGGTTTCCAGAATTCATTTTTCGTATTTCTTTTCTTATTTTTACATGACTTTGCTTATCATTGATTTTGCTAATATAGTGGTCTTGTCCTGAAAGCTTTGTAGACTTTAAGGTTGTGTTCTATCTCCCCAGAAAGAAAAGAAGCTGGAAGATAATTAGAATGGCCTATAAACTGACAGGTACCATATACAAGAGCCATGTTATTTATCAGCCTTAAAGCTTGGAGAAACTAGTGTGACAAGACTCTTTTGTCTCAGCACTCTGTCTTGTTATTTCAAAGGTATGCGATTTAAAATATTTATGGTTGTAATAATCTTATGCAAGGGCCACTGAGCACACTAAACACAATAACATCCTTAGGAGTCTATCATACATGCCATAAATTCCTTTGAATAAAATTTTTCCAGCTGTGTGTCTATCAAATTTGTGCAGTTATAAAAACAGTAGAACATAGGACCTCATAGATTAGTTCAAGTTTTTGACAGGGTGTGTTCACACTAATCTTCAAGCTATAGCAGATGCTTATTTGCAGTAAAGACTGTTTTTATTACACTGCCTGTAACGCAGCAGTCAGCTACTATTACATTAGAGGGAGTTGTTACTACTAGGCACTCTTTTTTTTTTTTTTTTTGGTCCCCAGGCTGTCATTGCTGCTTACCCAAGTGGTTTTGGTGAAGCTTTTGATGCTCTTTCATTCTGCTTAATAAGAGTAACTCCCAGTAGTATAGATTGATTTCAGGATACAGTATCTTACTGCTGATGCTTAATCTGGCCACCAAATTAGGCTGATTACAACTTTATGCAATGACCACCTTAAGCCATATGGTTTTCCAAATGATCAGCTATAAATCCCACCAGCACCAGCCAGCATAGCCAGTGATGGGCTGGAATATGTTGTTCTATAATACTACAAGCCTCTGTTTCCTCAACCCTGTCTTAAAGTCACACACTGCAAAATTGCCATAGGTCTGCCTCCTACCTTCAGGTTCAGTTTACCACATACCTGAGTCCATCTGGATGTCCAGAGGAAACTCAAATAGATGCAGGAACTGAGCCGGACTCAGTAACTCTTGACATTCCAGGAGGAAGCCAATGGTGTCTTGGGAAACAATGAATTCTGGGACTTCTTCCAAGAAGTGATCTGGCAAGTTCTTAGGGCTCTGAAGGTGAGAGAAGCAGCAGCTAGTCAGGTAATATTCCACAGCCCAGCATGGGTAAATAAACACAGTGCCACTGGAGCAATGTTTTGTGGCATACCAACCGTTTTGGAAAAACAGTTATTTGCTAATTTATGCAATGGAAAAGCAAGAAAAGCACCTGCCTCACCTCTTCTTTCTCTGAAAAGATGAGACTAGGCAGGAATAAGAGCATCAAATGATCAAACTGTTGCAGAGGTTGTGGGTGCTGTGATGGCGCCCAACTGTCAGGGGACAGAGGGATTGCCTGCACCAAATCTGAGTGCTTCCTCCCTATATAAATCATCAGGATAGTGAATAACAGTGGCTGTAGAGAGCAGTGCTGGCATGTCAGAGACCTTTTACCAAGAACAGAAAAGATGGGGAGAAGGATTTTTTTAATTAAAAAAACTTCCGCCATACTTTAGTTGAAAATCTCCATCAAAAATAAATAATAGCTATCATCCACTCATGGAATTGGGAGGGAAGGGAAGTAAAGTGCCAATTTTGAGAGACATCATTGCAGTAAAGGTAAAAACCTGCCCATCACTAACATTTTCAATGCCAGGGGTGAGGGGTGGGGACATCTCACCCTCCCATGTGCAAGTCTTCCTTCAGCTGATCACAAAGGTCAGTTGCAAGAGTGAGTCCTTGTGCTCCGCTCCCACTGTCACATCCACAACAAAAAGTGTTACAGCAGGTTCCCTAATCTGCTGCCCTTCAATAAATTGAAATTGCAACTCCCCAAGTTCCCAGATGATGCAATCACAGGCTGGGAATTCTTAGGATGGTTGTCCCAGGGCATCTGGGAGGCACTAGGCTGAGGCAGGCAAGGGCATTTCACAGGCATCTGTGGACAACAAAAGAAGGTCCTGAGAATTCACAAGCCAGAGATCTGCCTCCAGTGCCATCTCCTGCTTAATGCTCCCCAGGGAAGAGAAAGTTACTCCCTGACAAAAAGGTGAGGGGAATGTAGGGGTATAACATAAGAGAACCCCTTCACACCTTTTGAGTTGTCCCAAACATGAGGGACCACCTTTCTGCACTCCACACCTTCCCAGCCATGTCTTAGCTGCTGGAGACTGTTGGAGGAGGAGATGCTAGAAATACAGATGCTGCCATGGCTGCAGACTCTGGGTCTCCCTTCCCACCTCCATAAAGTTAAGCCCCCATCCTCTTCCCACACCTTGCATTATGCCAGATATTTGCATGACTATATTGCATGCAGCTGAGGGTGGGTGTGGGACCTCTGCATGAAATAGCCTTCCCCTTCCTGGAACTCTCCTGCTGGGTGCAACCCCCATCCCCCCAATGAGCAGCCCCAATAACTCAGCTGGAAGCTGTGTTTCACTGCATCTAGACAGGGAGACTGCTTAGTGCATAAGTCTTTAGAATTGGGTCTTCTCTCACAGTGGGTCTCACAGGGTGAATTGCCTGCCATAGTTAAGTTACCAGCACCTTTTGAGTCCTAGGATAGTAGTCGTAGGCATGGAAGAGGCTTAAGGAGTGTTCAAGAAACAGCTGGAAGAGAAACTATACCTTGGGATAATTCAGCAGATATTTGCCCAGTCTTAAGAGTGCAGTGAGGCATTCACAGATGGTAGCCTCCACTGGCTCCTCATGAGGAGTCTCGTAGTTCAGATATCTCTCAGGTAGATTCAACACTTTATAGTTCCACTGTTGGAAAAGTCGAGCAGGGAGATTGTGCGACATTACCAGGATCTTGACATCCAGGACTAGCACTCTGAAATAGAGCCCCCCCGCCCCAAAAAAGGTGAATCAGGACCAATGTCGCTTTAAATAGCAGTGAGAGGGGATGAGCACTGAGTATTATTCCTCATGCTTGAAGAAGATAAAGTAGCCAATCTTGTCCTTTGGAGCAGAAGGAAATTAAGTCGAGTGAGCCTCACTTCAGACAGAAACATGCAGTGGAATCCAAAGCTTTACACAGAAAGAATACTAATAATAAGAGGGACAATTCCAAGCTGCCTTAGATCTAGAAATTAAGACATTTCTTAAGCCTCAAGAGGGAAAATTTGCAAAAGGCAAAATGTATTCTCAGAGTAACAAAAACCTCAGAAACAAGCAGGGTTTTCCTGTAAGAATCCGGCACCCTGGAACTGTGTTGGCAGGTTGACAAATGCACGGATGTCATTTAACCAAATATTCCTCACTGTCACCAGATGTCACCCATGATAACAGGAAATAATGGTTCCATTTGGTGACAGAAAAGCTCCATTAAGGCATGACAGCTCATTCACACAAATAGTGATCACGGTGCTGCAGGAATCAATATATGTCAGTGGCCCATCTTTCAGGGCCAGGCCTCTGGCTGCAAAAGGCATTTTAAGTCTGGCCAAAATTACTATTTATATCTTTATCTCACTTTTCTGTCAGATAACTTACATAGATGGTCCTCTACTTTATACATTTGTGAGATAACTAGCTGGACCAAGCTTGTGCCACAAGTGAGCGAGAACTTGCTGGAAGCCAAAAGAAGGTCCTTTAAGGATTGTTGACCAAAAATATTCAGCACTGAAAGGCTCAGTTCTGTGCCCCATAAGTACAAAATGCAGTTTTAGGGTCTCAAAACAAAACTTTTCATTAGAATTGTGAGGTGGAGGAAAAAAAGCCCTTGGCCCTGAGGGAATACATTATTGCTGCTAATGGCTTACCTCTTCTGCTGCTCCATGTCTCTTAAATCCCGCAGGACAGAGTAGAGCACATCACTGGATGACTAAAAGAAAAAATCATGCTAAAAATCAAATTAGTAGTAACTCATACCACAGAAGAAGGGTGTCCATATTGCTCCAGTCAGCCTGTTACTGTTTGTTGCACAGGGGAGGGGCTGTCGAGCCATTAGGACATCTGCCCACTTTTTCCCCTGGACATCCTGATAAGGTGGCCTGCACTAAGTAGTCTGCTGGCTTCCTGTTACCACAGTTTATGGCAGGAAACCATAAATAGTATAGATTCTCCTAGCCAACCAATAATAATATGGAAGTCAAGAGCCCCTTTTTCTCCTCATGTCCTCCATCCGGCAGACACAGCCTTAAAATAAAATATCGTCCAGCTTTTTTAGCAGCTGGGGAAGGAGTGTTTGTTTTTTTATATAAATTTTATTGAAGCTTTTTACATGAGTAAAAGATAAACACGAAAACATATCTAAAGGAAAGTTAAGGGGAAAAAAGTGTGAGAGACAATACAGATAAAAAAAGAAAAAGATAAAGAAGTAACTTCCGATCTTCTTTACAGCAGTTACAAACAAGCTTATTATCCCTCCTGCCTCTCTAAGATTACATTACATAGTTCCTCTCTATTCCATATTCAACTCTTTTTAATCAGCAAAACCAGAAATCACCATTTCATTTTTTTCCCCATTTTCAGCAAAAAGTCCATAAAAGGGTTGCGGTCTTTTACAAAAGTACTTATTGTGTTATCCCTGATCAAATAGATCAATTTTGCCATTTCTGCAAATTCTGCCATCTTCACAATCCATTCCTCCATTGTGAGTATTTCAGTATTTCTCCAGTGTTGTGCCTGTAATAGCCTTGCTTATCTTTGGGGGTGGGGTGGGGGGGTTGGACCATTTTCACAACAGTAGTCAATCAGAGTTTTGTTTATTGTGGCCTTTTAAATTGTCTGCTTTTTTCCCCTCATCCGTCAGATTTATGTTATTTATTTGCTGGTTCCAGCAATCAGCTTCAATCCAACCTCTTCAAATCTACAATCACTGTGGTCTATAGTTCACATGACACGTCATACTTTTCTATGGTGAAATTTGGAACATGCAGCATTGATTCTCTATTAATAGAGGTGAATATGTGTAGCTCAGGGTTGAACTGTGGAGTCCTTGGGGTTCTCTGAGCTTGGTTCTTTTCTTGCAAACGTTTCATAGCCAGGTAATGAAATGTTTGCAAGAAAAGAACCGCGTGATTCTATATTATCACTAGCATATGTTCCTGAAAATAAAGGTTTGTTGGAAAAGTATTATGCTTGAAAAACCAGTCTTTCTGATGCTGGAAAAAGTAATTTCATATACATGGAGACCTAAGTTTTGTTTTGTTTTTTGCAGTTTTTCACTGTAATCTTTGTCACAGATGCCAAGAAAGTGAAATGGTTAGTGCATCCTCCTTTCCCCCCACATGTCCTCCTTTCCAATTGTCTGTGTCCTCCTTTTCCTGTTCAACTATCTGGTAACCCTACTAAAGGGTGATTTTCCTCCCTTTTTGAGCATCCATCAAGAAAAAAGAAACTATCTGACTTCTAATTGTGACTTTTTTGCATCTTTTACTTCTATCATTAGGATGTAGTATACAGATACATGGCCAGTGTAACACAGGCACAAAGATAACATTAAAGCTGTTGACCTCAGTTGGGATGAATCCCCCAATTAAAAAGCTTCACTCTCACACAACCACAGTATATACATTCTAAGAACACAGTTCATATTTAAGCAGTCCAACTTTCCCCGCTTCCTTGGCAAACATGGTCACTGTAATTGCCTTTGCGTAAAGTCCATGAAGCAGTTCTCTCAACTCTGTCTCCCTCGGCTTCTCCCCCGCTTGACTCTCCATAGCAATGATTCCCTCCTCAGGCAAACCCACTGGGCAACCTCTTTAGAGGGGAAACTTCCAACTTCTCTTTCTCTGTTGCCAGCCAATCAGAATGCTTTGTGCACGCACGCACACACCCAAGCCACCCACTTGCTTTGTAGTTTCAGGAGGTAGGATCTCAGAATCAGGCTGCACCTTCTCCCATTTATCTCTTGTGCATGATGGTCTTTCTGCCAGAAGAGGGTGCTGCTCCCTCTTCTTCCTTGCCACACCACAAAACTGAGGGCTTCTACAGTACTTGCTTCAGAATTAGCTCCCTGCTCACAAAGCTAGCTCATTTTATTTCCATTCTATCCCCGACCTACACAACCTGACCCATTTAGGGCCGGTTAAACTATGACCCAGGAGTTAGCAGTTCTTGCAGGAAGGACAATCCAGGCCTTAGTTCTTATTTCCCCTACATCCTGCAATTGAACTTTTCAACCATCCCTGGCTTGTTCTGCTCCCCTGCAACAATTGGCTTGTATCTATAATGGCAGGTGAGCAAAAAGTAGATTCTCTTCTTCGCTAGATTATATTATTATTTTCACATAGCAAAAAATCACATAGCTTTTCCTTCCCTAACCCCAGCCCTGCGTCCAATGTTCTGTAATTTTCTATTTATCATTATGGCTTATACTGCTTGAGAGAGATTTAGGGTAAAAACTCATGTCTGTGATCAGTCCCTTAATTCAAAAATAAAGATGCATTCAGACACCAATGAGATAAGTCTTTCAAATAAATCAGTGTAAGAAAAGAATGTTTATCAAAATCAACAATATTGTCTATCATATGCCAAACTTTTCCTGTTCCCGTGGAGCCCAACAGTATTACAAACCTTCAAAATGGATGAGATGTTAAAGGGTCTGAACTAAGTCTGCCATTGTAAAGAAATCATAGTGGTAACATCAGTTTCTGTTCAGGTTTTCAAGTCTGAACCAGTGCTATAAGGCAAGTGGCTAAGAAGGCCTAGAGTCTTGGTATGGAAATGCAGTTCAAACAACTTTTAAGAAGGCAATTCAATAAAATATCTTTAGCTATATGTGTTACAGAAGTTAGATTGTCCACAAACATTTTTGAGGTCAGAAGAGAGGATATTCAGCAAAATTTCCAAAATCCAAGAGTTTCCAAATGGGAAAAGAAAAAGAAAAAAAAGGGCAAGAAAGAACCATGGAGAAATAATGCAACTCATTGTCATAGAGAGGATGTATGTTTAAACATCTATTACAGAGACATTTTTTTCTCCAATTCATTTGTCATAAGGGTATCTATTTGTTTTGAACACGTTATCTTTCTTTTAGGTTAAGAAAAGTAATCAATAGGGAATCCTCAACAAAATGTTCTCGAAATGTTCTCTTGCTACCCTGCAAAGTCGGAAAATGCTTCTTATATACAGAGTAAAGCTGAGGCATGAATCGAATGCAGCTTTTGCTGAATTCAGTGTCTATTTGCTAATGAACTTTAGACAGTTGGGTATATTTTCATTTAAACAATTGATATTTACAGTGTTTTAAGCAGCTAGTCTATTTCAGACAGTTGTTCCATCAATGGTTACCCAGAACTGGGGATTCAATTGCTTCATAGGCATTTACATGTGTAAAAGACTATATTTCAAGTCTGGTTAAAACATCCAGTATTCAGCTGCATCAGTTATCAACATAGCTGATATCAATTATATCTTTGCAGAATTGATAGACATTACTAAACAGCTCGGTTTGTAAAACTGCCGGTCTGACATAGCCTACGTACATTTCTCACTAGCTCCCAGTTACTATACAGCTAGTGTTACGATGGCAGTTAGGGTCGGAATTTCCATCACTAAGCAATGCAGTCATAAAGCACGATGTCATGTGACCATGTTGCTTGGCGACGGCAATCCCAACAGTCCTGGTTGCTGTCGTAACCCCAGGACCATGCGGGTCATTAAATGGGAAGCTGGCACGGAATGTCGGAAATTGCGAACATGTGACCACGGCTTGCTGCAATGTTATAATTGTGGGCCCAGCACTGAGCACCCAGATTGCAATCATGTGACTGCAAGGATGCTGTGACGGCTGGAACTCTGAGGATCGGTCATAAGTCCCCCTTATTCAGCACCATCGTAACTTTGAACAGTTGCTGAATGAGTGGTCGTAACCCAAGGACTACCTGTAATGTAAAAGCACTATATAATGTAAAAGCACACTCTCTTCATTGCAGGTATTAAAAAGAGATTGCCAGGGTTATTTGCCCTTTTATTTGCCACATGTGTATTAGGTTGAGCAAGAAAGCAGGCAATGTTTCAACAATAAAATTTACTTTACTAAGATGAAGAGTATTTGGGGAGCAAGTTGTCACTAATCAAATGCATTTTTAAAAAGTCTAATTTATAATCCATCTAGTAATGTGACTTCCCAAATATTTGAAAATACTATGGACGGGTGAGAGCATATGTAAATCGTAAGCTGTGATGCTCATCAGGGAGAAAAGCTTTGAAAACAAAAAGCAACTGTACAAATAAAAGGCTTTAGCCCAATCCATTCCAAGCCAAAATCAAAAGAAAATTAGAATCTCATGAGAGTAGCTGGAGACTTTAAAGCCCAATCAGCACCAGGGGTCAGAAAGTTCATCTGATCCCCTCCAGAACTCTTCTTTAAATTACAGCAAATACACAAGGTAATGAAATAGCAGCGTTTCCCACTACCAGAACATGGAGAGACACAAAAGAACATGAGAAGTAGAGACAAACATTTAGTACTCTAAAACAAAACACAGCAGACTTTTGTAATACCATCTGACATTTAGGAAAGGCAATAGGATCAGTCTGGAATCGATATCAAAGCAAAGCAGGCTCTTTTTGAAAAATTACAATTTTGTATGGGAAAAAAATCTCTTTCCAGCCTCTGTCAGTTAAAGGAACTATCTCCATCATAAAGAAAGGAATGTAAGCTACTGTATTATCCTTCCTTTCACACTTGAGAAACCTCTAAATGCCAAGAAGAGGTGGTTTTTTTCTTCTTATTCTCTACCTGCTTAAAAGTGTGCATTCTGTACTTCAAAAATAGACATAATCAATGTTTGAAAAAATGTTGCCTTTTTGCCCTCTGAATCATTATCAATCTTCACTTATTTCAGGGCTAAATGCAGCTCCCAGGGGAATACATTCCATAGCACTGCAGCAACTGAGAGACCTCCCTCTGCAGACCAAAAAGCTGGGCCTCTGACAATGAACTCCTTCAGGTTTAATGAGCAAACAGGTTCATAATGGAAGAAGCAGCCCCTTAGATTAAGCTCTTTAAGGTTTAAGGATGATAACAATAATACTTGACTTGTAACTCTGGGGCATACAGTTCATCTGATCCCTGTATCTTGCACACATTAGTTGGGTAGTCATTGCATTTTACACCAGCTGCAACTTCTAGAACTTTTTCCAAGGGTAGCTCTGGAAGCATATGTAGCCATAAGCAAGATGGGATGTAACCAAAGCTTAGATAACTGTCAGCAAACCCACTGGCTCAAGGACAATCATTCTATCCAGAATTGTGGAAAAAGGGTGGCCCTTTCTTAAACAGGCTGAACCCTATTTCCCAAATCCAGTTGCCTACTGTATTTACCAAGAGAACCTCCATTTTGCCTGGATTTAATTTCAGCTTGTTTTCCTTCATCCAGCCCATTAGTGAACTTCAGCAACATTCAAGATTACTGTACTGATTGCACTCTTCTAATTAAACAGTAAAGAATAAGTCGCTCATTACACCCCACTTCAAAGCTCTGAATGATTTCCCCTGTGCTTTCAGATAAATGCATGTTGAACAGCATGGGAAACAAGAACCATGTAGAGCACCCCAGATCAACGGTTTAGGTACTATATAGTGACCGCCCAGCACCATCTCAGTCCACCAGGAAGGACTAGAGAACTGCAGACTGCTGCCCTGAAAGCTACCAGACATTCTGGAATTATGGATGGAGGAGTTAGAAGCTGCAAAGAGGGCCAGAAGAGCTAGCACTGTAATGATATGTGGAAAAGACCTTGGGAGACTGGGCCAAGAGATGCTGCCTAGGGAATGGTCAGATAAGAGACCGCATGGCCTGCAGCTGGATAGTGAGTGGAGCAAGAGGCTCAGAAGAGTCCCTCCCTAGTTTCTCAGGCTGTAAAGGAGATGGCGGGAGAATTGTACTTTCAGACTTGCTAGATTCTGTTAATGTCGCTTTTCAATAAAATAGAAGTAGCTCATCTGGTCGTGTTTCCTGTCTGGTCTACCTAGTCAGGCTGACACACTACCACATCTAGGTTCTGGGATAGGTCTCCATTAAGGTCTCCAAAGCAGTTTTCTAGTCCCCTATCCTAGCTGAAAGCAACTGGGTCCAGATAAATAGTATCAATTCAGATGCCTGTGGAATTACAGTCATCCACCTTTCCTAGAAATTGAATGAGACTAACATATACAGTTAGATTTCCTGAGTCAATCAAGGACTTATCACTACCTTCTATAGACTGGAGAGAGGCATGAATGCATCCCACCATAAGGACCACTGATCACTTCCTATTTGCAATTTAGAAATTTGCAATTTAGGAAGTGCAAGGTACAAGTAGGTAATAATCCTTACCTCTCCACTCATCTTGTCTACAAATTGAAAATAATCCAAAATAATAGACAAATAATTAATGATGTTACATCCCTATCATTTGCCCCACACTGAATTACAAGTCAAGCTTAATCTAATCAAGTGTCTCTGCAAAGAATGGTGTGATTGCTTATAGTGAGCCACCCACTGTTCCAGATTCTCACCCCCTCCAACATCTTGGTGAAGGAGATGCTTCACAGTATAGAAGAATGTTGGCTGTTCTGTGGGGATGCAATGATGTCAGAGAAATAAGCACTCTTTGCTCTGAAGTAGGTCTCCAAATGAGCCTTCAGTTGGGCTCACACTGTGCTTGAACTGATCTGTCCTGACAATTTCTCCATTTTGTTTCACTGATACCCTGTCTGTTTCATTGCTCTCAGCTTCCACCATAAACTGAGGGACTAATTAAGAAGGAAGAAATGCTTGGAAGTTATAGTGTAAATGGATCACTTTAACCAGCCCTCTACTCCTGCAAGGGTTTGTTCTAGCCATCAATCTAAACTTTACCATGGAATGATGCATAGCAATTGATTCTCTCAAAGACATTATTCTTCAAGACCTGCCTAAGGTAGTCCCAGAGAGACAACTCTCCTTGAAATTACTCTTTGGTCATAATCCAGCCTCATGACCACTTTGCTCTTAAACCCCAGGCCCTGAGATCTAGCACAGTCTTCAGCAAATAGCTGAAGTCAAAGTTCTTATCTTGCAAGGAAGCTGTTTTCCCTAGATAGTAAACCAGGCATACAAGTAGGTAGAAAGGGCGAACACTTTCTTTCTCTCACCTAGTTAGACTTAATGGGGTAAACAACAACAGCTTTCCTTGTTTTTGATAAGAAGGTCATTTTTTTCTCCCCCCTCCCCCATCCCCCACATCACAAATTGTCTTCCAGCAACTGGGTGTAGCTTGTTCTGGAATACAAGTTTTCATGTTATAATTAAACAGGAACAATTTCTCCAGGAAAATGAACCATAAGAGCTTTGGCTCCAGGTAGCATGACAAAATTGCTATGATATAGTTGGCTCATTCCAAGGCTGTAAGAGAGAAGAGATGGGAAAAGTGTTTTAAGTGTTGCTATAATTCCAAGTTTACTTCCATTTGTTCAGCAATCTTTTCAGGCACCAGACTCCATTACATGATTTTGCATTATAATGTGGGTGTTCTTGTCCTAAAATCTTGTGAGACTGTAAGGCTCCTGTGTAATGAACATGTGCAGGTAATGAACATGTGTGGGTACATGTCATGTAGCTCCACCCACTTGTGCAGCTCCTGAAAAGATAGTTGTAAGTCAGTTTTCCCCTACCAGTTTAAGCTCTTTAGGAATAAATGGTCAAGGAATATTTGGGGCTTCAGAGACTGATTTGTCAGTCCAAACCAGGAAGTCAAAGTTATGGATGCTAATAGTATTTTTTACAGTAGCAGAATCTTGCAAGTCTGAATGCACCTGACCCCTCCCTACCTTTATGTTCAAGAGAACTAAGGAGGGTCAAGTCTCAGATGCTTTCTCAAATTACATTCCTGCTTTTGACTTAGATTTCTCTTATCTAACCATTGTCTTGATTGTGGCTCTTCTTCCTATTCCTCAGGGTTATTCTCACAGCCCATTACATTTATCCACAGAGAAAAAAATGGATGCAGTTGCTAGTTTCACTTGAAATGTTTTCCATTCACTGCTCTTGCTTAGGTGTTCTCACCACAAGGAAGCTCAGTGACACCATCTTGCTAGCTGGGGCTTCTTGAATAAAGGTGGAGATAAAAGGGAGCATTGAAGATGCTACAAATGGGTGATCAAATTGTTCATGAACTTGAGTGACATTCCCACAAATTTCTCATATTAGAAATATCACATTTTGCTTATTTTACACATGTACACACGAACACAGGTAAGCTTACCTCCAGTATATGTATAATGTAGGTGGGGTAGAGAAGCAAAAGGCCTGTGACCCCCACTCCCTGATAATAGTGGCGTTGCAAATTCAGAAATAGTTGTTCCCAGTATTCTGAGGAGAAATGAGGCAAGCACAAATTGCTTCACCACATAATGGGTCCATTTGGTGATTTTATAACATCATAGATTTTTGTCCACCTTACCCAAACAAAACTCAGTGTTTACTTATAAAAGCAGCATGGGTGTGGGGGAGGGTGCATAAACAGAAGCAGAGCATCAAAAGAGAGCAAGAAACGTCTTAGAACCTGCTGCATTTTTAAAGACAGCTGGTATCTGGACATCAACTGGTTGATTTTAGGCCATATTATCCAACTCTGATCTAGGCCTCAACATTCTGCTGGCAAAACTTGCCCCTTGTACAAATTGTTGGAAGCTTTTTCTGCACTGTATAAACCACAAAGAACTACCTTTCTCCTGTTTATCCATGATTTGGGATGAGTTTTGTTGACAGAAAGACCATTAGTATTTGAAGGGGTCACCAAGCCAGCTGTTGGCTTTCAAAAGCTTAGGATGTATTTATTAAACCAACCCATTCCATCCTAGAACTTTCTGGCAATTGCTTCAAAATGTTCTTCTTGAAGAAAGCAGTAGGAAGAATTGTTCCTTACCGGCCAGATTCCTTTTATCAGCCAGGTCTGGTGAGATCTTGGCCAGAAAGATCAGCCTGTGGAGGAGAGATTTCTAAAGGGCACAGAGAAAAAAGAACCCAGTTTTTAATACTGTTGACAGACAGAATATAAATGTTATTGTTGTGAGCTGCCCAGAGCTGTGTCTTAAGATGGGCGGCCATAGACATCTTTTAAATAAATAAATAAATAAATAAATAAATAAATAAATAAATAAATAAAAATAAAATAAAATAAAATAAAATAAATAAATAAAATAAAATAAATAAATAAAATAAATAAAATAAATAAAATAAATAAAATAAATAAAATAAATAAAATAAATAAAATAAATAAAATAAATAAATGAAGGGAATGCTATCAGCCATGTAGCTTTCTGTGTAGGAGAGAGACAAATCTTACCTATTTTAACACAACATTATGGCATATTGGATATAAT